GCAGTTAGGGATCTCTCCAAATGACTGAGAAGTAATGATGTCAGTTTGAGGACTAAGGTGCATCTGATTCATGCCATGGTCTTTTCGATTACTTGCTATGCATCTAAGAACTGGACAATGAATAAGGATGACAGAAAAAGAATTGATGCCTTTGAGCTGTGGTGTTGGAGAAGAGCACTGAACATTCCATGGATGGCTAAGAGAATGAACAGTTATGTCTTGGAGAGAGTGCAGCTGGAGTGCTCTTTGGAGGCAAGAATGATGAGGCTTTGCCTCACATACTTTGGGCATGTTGTTAGGAGGGGCTGTTTCTTGGAGATGGACATTGTGCTGGGGAGGCAGAAGGGTCATCGAAGGAGAGGAAGACCCTGAACCAGGTGGATTGACCTGATGACTGCTGCAGTGGACTCTTGTGTGTCAAGAATCGCGAGGATATAGCGCAGGATAGAACAGGTTTCGGATCTTTTGTTCATAGGGTCGCTGTGAGTTGTACTTGACTCCCCAGCACCTAACAACAACAGCAGCAGCAGCATAGTGCTACTTTGTTCTGTCTTGTGTTTGTACCATCAGTGATGTGCCTGTGTAGATGAAGTCTATCAGCTCAATTTTCAAGGTCATAGTGACCTAGTGTACTGAATGAAACTCTCCTTCATTCTACACTATCTCTACAGTCTGTGCTGTTCTTCCATCCATTGTTGCAGCCACGACTGTGCATCCTTAACCCTTCTCGTTGAGTGTCTTCTTACACTGACCCTCTACTAAGTATGCTGTTCTTCTCCTGGCATTGGGCCCTCTTGATAACATTTGTGATATATGAGACAAAGTCTCACCATCCTTGCTTCTAAAGAGCACTCTGGCTTTACTTTTTCTTTAAATTATTTTTTGTATGTGTACCGTCAAATCGGATCTGACTGGTATAGGAGGAGATTGTCCCTCTTCTCCAGTAGAGCATCTAGTAGATTTGAACCGCATATCTCTGGGATTGCAGTGAAACTGGATTTATTTTTTCCAAGAGAGATTTTTTTTGTTTTTTTGTTATTTTGGCAGTTCATTCTGTATTTAGTAATTTCCATTAATACCACAATTTAAAGGCACTCTCAATTCATTGCTGTCAAGTCAGAACCAACTTGTAGCTGACCCTCCAGCAGGTTTTCAGGAAGCTGTAAATCACAGGAAGGTGATTGTTCATCTTTCTCACAGAGCTGGTGTTAGATTTGAACCTCCAGATTGGTGCTGTCTTTGGGTTAGCAGTATATCTCGCTAGGGACTACACCACTAGAGCTGTCTAGTCAAAGGCGCTAGTTAAGCAACATTTCTCACATGAGTGGTATTCTAGAAAGATTGTCAGGAATACACAAGATAGATTGTCTCAAGAAGACCCTCTAGTTGGGAAATTTCCAGTTAGGAATTTTCTAATTTTAATCTAACCTAGGGAGCTCTGGTGGGCTCATGGTAAGAAATTGCATTGCAATCCTGAAGGCATGCAGTTCTAATCCACCAGTTGCTTCGCAGGAGAAGGATGGGCAGTCTCTTCCTGTGCGATTAACTATCTCTGAAAACCCTCTGAAGGGTCAGCTATAGTTTAGTTCCGAATCAGTTATACTCAGCAACAAGTATATATAAAAATCTAATCTAACCTATGTAGCTACACTGCAAGATACCTAAATCCTAGGTTGAATGAAGATGAGCCTGAAATTTAACATTTTATTTGAAAATTACTCTCCCTCTTTAGAATTTAACTTTTTTGTTAGTCATATTTTTAAACAACTTTATTTGATACTATTATTACCAAACAATAACTTACTGAAAGTATACAATTCAGTGGTTTTTAGTGTACTCAAAGTGTTGTGCAAGCATAATTATGATCTAATTATAGGATATTTTCATTTCTTCTAAAAATAAGCCTTGTACCACTATAATGGTCATCTCCATCTTTCTCTGCCTTCCCCTCTGGCTCTAAGCAACTAATCATTTACTTTGTTGTTTTGGACATTTGATAAGTAAAATCTTATGGTATCTATCCTTTTAATTTATTATCTATGATAATTATTCACATGAAAATGATGGCTTGCAGTTTTGATCCCATTTCTGAACTTGATGAATACATGCCTGTATTTTATTTGTCTGAATTGTCAGACAAAGGGTAGGATCCCAAAGAAGCCAAATTGCAGTATAAGAGGTAAGGGTTACCTCCTTTCTTCTCAGTTACTGGTTATGATTTTATTCTTGGTTTTCTTTTTACTATATAACACAAAAGATGAAATAGAGAACTGTTATGTATTAAAAAATCGTATATCATTAACATAAGATTTACCTTATGGCGTATTTTGGCTAACAGTGAGAACTTCTTTTTTCATAGTATATTCAACAAAACATAAGAGCAGATTGCTCCAATATTGACAAAATTCTTGAACCACCTGAAGGCCAAGATGAAGGTGTATGGAAGTATGAACATTTAAGGTAAGTTGTTAGGATATATCAAAATAATATTTCTTCCCTTACAATAAAAAAACGAACCTTAAGTATTAATGATGCGTATAAACCATAAAGATGATATGTTATATAATTATAGACCCAAAAGCCAAATTCTAAAGCTTTTTTTATTTTATTGTCATAAAGTTCTTAACTTGTTTATCTGCTGATTGTTTTTAGATCAAGTTATGTTGCATATGTCACTTGCTCTTTCTAGAGGTGGTTTCAGAGCTGTTGATTATTTGGATGATAATTAATCTAAAGACCTTCTTCTGTACTCTTCTCTGTTTATTGATTTTGTTGTTGTTGTTGTTAAGTGCCATCAAGTCGCAGGCGACTCATAGAGACCCTATGAAGGAGAGTCCTCAAGTGCTTGGCTGTCTGTCTTCCTCTCTCCAGGTTCATAGAGTTTCCAGAGACAAGCTATTATGGAAGTGAGTGCCACTCCTTCCAAGCTTGTTTTAATCGGGGAGCTCCACCCCACTCTGTCTGCATTGGGTAACCAACCATTAACGTATTTGACACATCAGTGTCAGTGTGCAGCCTCACAGCAATCACAAGTTACCTCTGTACGGCAACTTGTACACCAGGGCTATACGACCTAGAGGAATGTCTGAACAAAAACAGTGAAAGACAGGCCCGAGGGCTGCAGATTAAAAGTCACCCACCGTCGGCTTGGTAGCATCGCCTTCTGTTCACTGGGCCAGCTGATCTCTCTCT